TACCTTCAAGTAAATTCAGAAACTTAATCTTCTACTCATAATAACTTTACAAATATCATTATTTCTATTATGAACAATCACTTCAATATCTAATCCATTTGAAATAATCAAATCTTACTTTATGAATGATACTCTTCCATTAGTTTAAAAGTGATAATCTTCATGAATACAAAAACATCAATTATATCCTCTCTCTGGTTCTCGATCTCTATCTCTATCTCCATCTTTCTCTAGGTTTACTTTTATCTATTCCATATACAGAATAGAATGATTTCACTTGCTACAAATCATCCATTCACAATAGTTTTTATCTTTAATTATTTTATTTTATAAATTGTGCATTTATTTTAATTAATCACAAAAAAGAAAATTAAAACAATTTAATTGACATAATTGTAGAAATATAGTTTTGTTTAAATTTATAAATTAAATAGCTCAATTCATTTTGAATTTTAAATTTAAAAAAAAAAAAATAAACACAATTTGTACAACAATATCTATATATCACGTCATATATTATGTGTATAAATTTGTTTAAATGAACGACGACAACAACGACGACAACAACAACGACAAGAACAGCGACCAAAAAAAAACAAAACGAGAACATTTTATACATCTGACAAAATTGAAAATGTGTTCATTTAATTTTTGACAGTTGATCTGAAAGAAAAAGAAAAAAAGAAAAAGTTGTTTCTTTTTTCGAGAAAAAAAACTATATATTCACACAAAGAAGAAATTTTTCTTCTTTTTTTTACTTTTTTTACAAATTTATTCATCATAGCGAAATAACCAATTTAGATGGAAAAAATAAGTAGACAAACACTTTCAAACGGTTTTGTTCTATTTATGTTGGAAACGTTAGATCCTCAGAACTCATTTGGGAAAACAACCTTATTTAGTAATTATATCCGGAAAATTTGAATTTCTTTGTTTTCGCGCCAAAAACGCTCTTCTCACCTTTATATCATGTTTCCTACTGGTCTGTTGCGTCTTTTAGTATGCTATTTGGTAACTCTCCCGAAGGACGGTTTTGAACTGTATATATACGTTTTGAATTGTGTTTGTTGTTATGGCTCGTTTCTGGCTGTTTTGCAGAATATACTTCGCATTCTAAGCTTGAACTTCTCCCTCTAGTTAGCGGGGCTGGGACGCATCAAATAGCTAACTTACCGGTCTTTGGTTACCGAGTCTTTTTCTCGTTCGCAGATTAAGTGAACTCGTGATAGCTTCAAACCTAGCAATTTACTTTTATAAACATATACAAATGTTTTGAATATTTTTGTAAATATTTTCTTCTTATTTTAAAATTTACCTTTTATTTTTAACTTTTTAAATTAGTTGACATACTCATTTTGTTTTGTTTTAAATGATTAATTGAATTGTATTTTGTGTAGTATTTATAAAATATTCATTTTACATATAATAGTGAATAAGAACATAAATTGGGATAATCAAATGTATTTGGGCACAAAATTACAAAATATCTTAATACATACTATTAATATCTATCGATATCAGTAGCACACACTAAAGTATAAAAATATTTTTAAACAAAATAAACTTACGGTTGTAACGCCTCGTGAAGAAGCATAGGCCTCCATTCAACCTTGTCCTGGGCAATCCTTTTCAGATTCTTCCAGTTCCTATTCATCCTATTCATATCTGTTTCTATTTCTCGACATAATGTATTCTTTGGCCTTCCTCTTTTCCACTTCCCTTCAGGATTCCAAGTTAGGGCTTGTCTGTAGCTCTTCTAGACTTACTGCCAATCCCAAGCCCGGGTAAAAGAGAAGGGTTGAGCATAGGGTTAGCGACTCCATCTTGTAGAAAACTAACTCCTAAAAAAAACGCTAACTAGAAAGAATAATTCGAACAAAATAATGTCGAATTAAATTTTTTTATCTATTTTATCTGTTAAATTTAATTCTAAGGAATTAAGTGAAAATTTTATAACTGTGCTATTTGCAATTTTTCAAAAATAAGTCATTAAAATGATAGATTTCATAATTTCAGTACAGTTCAATTATACACTGACTGTAGGTCTGCTCAAATGTAAAGGAAGCACTAGATAGTTGTCCAAAACAACTTATAAAAGAGAAAAAGAGGATCTATAAATTAAGTTTTGGTATCTTATATTAGGTTTCTTTTGAAAAAAGAAACTTCAGTGCTTAACAAAATAACCGTAAGATATATTTTCACGTCTCGTTGGAAATATGCTTTGTTATTAGTTTTCTTTATTTCTAGTGTGAAAGGTTTTTTTACAGAATTTTGTGACTACGATAGCTTTTTCTGTTACTGTAATTAGACGAATAAGTTCTAAAAAGAGATGCAAATCAGAGTAGTCACCAACGATGAATTTATATTTGTAAAAAGTATTAAAGTTTAGTTATTACGACTATAGTGAACGCCATTGCACTGATAATAGATTTGTAATGTGATAACTCTATTTAAATGAAACAAATCATCCAAAGTTAGCTTTTTTCAACCGTAAACGGGATTATCGGAGACCATCAACATTTTATCATTAATAGTAAGATAGTAAATAGTTATATATCGTCATAAGATAATAATTAGAGATATATTTACATATTTCAACGCAAATATTAGTAAAAAGGGGCACTGAATACGTATGCGCCACTTACGTCTCTTGATTTGTGAGTGGGCTGTGATACTGCCCGGGTGTCCAGACTGAAGAAGGTAGTTTTCTTATGGGGCCACACACGGAGCCTTCGACCTAAAAGTCTGATTCACAAGGCAGTGGTGCAACGTCGGAAGATGCAGTCCCATGGTACCCACTGACCAACAATTGGTTCATACGCAGTTTGTTCCTTCAGGATACTGGATCTCATGTGCACAATTGGCTTGAAATCAGGGTTTTTTAACGTCCTTCATATCCACGAACTCGGTTAAGGCGTTGGACATTCGTTTTTCATTCTCATAATTTCGTAAACAACACCTCGGCCTTGAGAATGCAGTGAGTAGAACTCCTTTGGCAGTGGTAATATACGTGATAGAGGTTATATATTACTCAAGTAGTTTTCCGAGGACAAATAGTCGAATTTATTTTTTATCTTTTACTTGATGAATTATAGCTCTCAGAAACATGGTTTCACCATTATTTTTAACCGTAATATATGATTTAACTCACTGGAATAAGTTAATGACATCCTGTTTTATCCATTATATTAACTATTTTAAATTTTGTCTAATATTGTCAGTATCTTAAAAGTAGGAAATGCAGACAGTCAAGCCAGAATCGAAAATCGAAAATCAATAATTTGATATTTTTTATTAATCGATATTTTATGAATAAGATATTCTAATGATCGATTCGCCTTAAATGAAGATATATATATAACTTACAATATATATTAAATAGGTTACAACATATGTAATTAGATAATGAATGATTCTCAGTCTCCTTTACTTTTATTTACGCCTGTACATACTATTTTGATGTCTCTAAAGAATTTTTTTTAAAGCTCTATTCATTCAATTTATTCTCTTACGCATTTTCCCGATCACTGCAAACATGCATTAACATCAGTTGAAGAAATGCGATGGTTTTTGTTTGATCATAACTAAAATTATTATTTTTTTTTTAATGTGTATTTTGCATTCACGATACAGCGACATTCATTTCTAAATCACATTATAGAGAATAAAATAAGGATGAGACATTTTTTTAAAGGCAAGCAAACACATTTAGTTAAATAAGGATATACATAATGTATACTGAAGACAAAATAAATCTAAAATATGAAAGGAAACAAAGTTTTTGTTAAAAAGAAATTTAATACATCCGATTTTTCAGTGAGTTTGTACGGATTTCTTGACGCACAAAATGTGTGGTTATGTTGTTGATTTTTCTCACTGTAACAGTGTTTCCCCTTCCCCCCCCCCAACCCCCAATATATCATGTAGTCAAATAGTGCAAGTAATTTTCGAGAAAATATAGACATTTTAACTGTAAAGTGTATATTAATCACAAGACGTTCCTAACAAAAATAATGACATTTCACCTTGCATTGGTTGTTTAAATCTTCCTGTTGACGTTTAAGACTTTAATTGACTAGTTATATTTGACATTTTTGCATCCTGTGGGAGTCACCTCGATATTGCCACAAACTACACGCATCAAAAAAAAGAGATAAATGATTGGTAGTAGGATAGAGAACACGCGTCTTGTTTTATTTGCGATTCGTCAGCTGAATTTAACTGTACGTCGAGAGTGGGTTCTTACTGCAAAACTTTGGCTGACGAATCTCAAATGGGTTTGGACGCGCATCCTTGATTACAATGCAAGCCATCATCCATCTCTGAATAGTTACATTTATTGTTGTTAAGCATAAATGCTTGTTAGAGGATATTTGTATTGTTAGGTTAACTAAATCATAGTGTAACTGACTGGAAATACCTATTCTGTATTCCCAATTGTTTGAATTTCACTTCAACAGAAATCGGTGTTTAGCAAATTGCCAACAATCAATTGTACTAAGAATAAAAAATATACCAGAAACCCTGGTTGGGTCATGGATTTACGTAGCTGTAGATTATGACGTAACCATATGAGTATGCTTTGCTATTAAACTATCTGAACTCCTTGGCGATTACTTATCTAAAAAATTATGAAATCCGTAATAGTGAATGTCCCTTAATCATTATTCAATTTAATATATTACTATAAACACACAGCAATATATTATTCTAAGTGGATTAATATCACGTAGCTTTAACAGTCAAAGTTTACATCTTTGTTTGGTAAACTTTTAATGTAACCTTTTTAAATTATCTGAATTTCAAAAATGCTTCACAATCATAACTCTTGTTGCTCATTAATGAATGCAATGAGGATCATGATACCATAAAATTCTCACTTTATCTTTATAATGGTTACAAAGATAACATGAAATAAAAACTGAAACTACTAAACTTGACTGATATTTTGTTGCGAACTTATCGCTATATTATATGGTATATATCTTAATTTTGTTCAGGTTATGGAAGAAAATCAACCGAACTCTACAGTTGGTAGAATTGTAGCCATTGATAAAGATGCTAATCAAAATGGTAAAGTTAACTATAAAATACAATGGCCAGATCAATATAATCAGTATAACAAATTGTTCATACTAACAGAACATGGAAAGTTAATTGCCACACAAAGTTTGGATAGGGAACGTGTCCCAAATGGATATAAATTTACGGTAAGTCACGTTAATTGTGCTAGGCTGAAGTAAATCATGCGTTTCATTGTCATATATTTCTATCCTTGTATTTATTAAATATCTATGTCAACCATATGATTAACAATTGTTTCGATTATGAACATGATAAGTTGTCATAAACTATTTTGAGAAATTACTTAGATGGACCATATAAATTTTATGAATGTTTACTTATTCCATGTCATTTCATACAGGAAAAACCTAATTTCTGGAGTGTGCTTTCTTTGGTAAATAATGCAAGTATTAAATGACCAGAAAGTCTAAAGCATTTAATCAATCACTCAAAAGCTTTGTTTACTAAATACTCATTTTCTTATTTGATTACTTACTTTCAAATATGTATACCTAACGGATGCATAAAACATTATAAGGACTTCCCATATTTCACTATGCAATAAATATATTGGAAGAATTGTCCATCATTTTTTATAATTATATAAACAATATTATACTTAATTGTCCTGATAAAATTGTTTTTCATCTAAGAACAGTGCTACAACACTCAGTTTCAATTTTTAAAACAATATTAGACAGACATTATAGACCAGAAAGCACTATATCTCTGTGTGAAACATTTACCTATTTGTGACATCAAATGATGATTGTCAAATATTATGAAGTTATTAGAGCTGGACATGAAAACCAATAATTGCTTGGCCACGTTTTAAAGGATGAGCGCTTGTAATGAGACTTCAAAGTCCTGAATTCGATCCTTCGTGGAATTGTGGATGCATACTTCTGAGGATCCCCATTGTAAAACAAACCGAATATTCATTGCTTTCTGCTATGCAAAGATCGATCTATGACGGAAACTCTGAAATCAAACATTCTCCGAAAATTTCATAAATTAATAATATTCCATAAGACAATTATGATATAATTTATATTAGATTGAAATGAAGCATTACTATAGCTTTAATCATATATTTAATCAAATGACATAACAAAGAAATCTTGAATATATATGTTAGAGGGAGTATCAATCAATTAAAAATATCTAGTTTACAACTAACCAGTTCTATCAACAAGAATGTACAACCTTTCAAGTATCTTACGTTTTTCAAAAAGTCAATATGATTTTCCATGATGAGATATTGAAATCAATTTTATGGATATGAGATAACTGAAGCATGTGAATATAAAACTGTTTATCAGTTCATTTTCATTATGAATAGCATTTTAATGGGCCAAGAACGATATTCATTGTAGAACACGATGAGTTGATTTCGCTTCTTTCTCTTCAACTAAATATGAGCGTAATTTAAAACTTGAAAAAGTTAATTTTTCAACAAAAAAGAATAAATAATCTAACATGTATTTATCAATCCTTTAATTGATAGTTTCGGAATACTCAAAACAATTTTATTACGTAACATCAACTACAAGAGGTTTAAGTAGACAAATTATGGTGAGGTGATTTTACTAAATCATGGTAACACTTAATTGAAGGAAGAAGTTTGAAAAAAAAGGTGAAAATACCTTTGTTCCAGGGGCAGATAATATCTAACCGCTAATTTCTTTACAAATATAAAGGTTGGGTTTAATCCAATAGTTACAATGACTCCAATGATTTGTTATATAATGTAATTAGGTTCTTAGTTGATTACATTATACATATTCATGAAATTCTGTTAATATTCTTTTTTAAACTGTTTGGATAGTCAATCAATAAATAAAAACGCTCTAGTCATCAAACACACAAAACTAACTTTATTGTAGAATTTAATTGTCTAATTCTTCTGATCTGAATGACAAAACATGCAAATAAATAAATGAAAAATACTTTTAGTATGGTGAAAATTCATATTTTGACTCTCTGTACACGGAATAAATAGAGCCAAAAACATTTTTTTCAATTATTGTTTCATCATAACTCTACACCAATATATATATATATATATATATATATATATATATATATATATATATATATATATATATATATATATAATATGATTTACAACGATGCGAAAACGCTCATTGAGTAAGTGTGTTGCGTTATGCTTATGCAATATCACACTGGCCATAGAATACTATTGAGTAATTGGAAGAGAGGGGATTATAATAATCAAAGAAAAGGAAGACCAAGCAGTTCCTACACTACCTAATATATAAAACGAGCTAACCAACATTTTGATAGAAGTTCTGTATTATAGTAGTCATGCAAGAATCAAGATATAAATGTTGAGAATCTGTAAAAAAACAAACTCGGAAGAAATAAAAAACTGGTTTACATGTTTTTGAACGAATAGGTTCCATCAAAGTTCAGCCATAAACTTGGTCCTATGCCGATGGCCAAGTTAGCGAAAGTTGTTGTACAAACTTCTTTTAGATGCAAAGGTGACGTTTGTCAACATGTTTTTTGATAACTTCAGCAAGATACATAAGATAAACTCATAAAGCATGAAGTAAATTTGTTGGGATATGTTGGATAATTTTAAAAACTTTATTTAAATCAGTTGAATGACCTGTATCAACCAAATGAGCAAGGATATAGAATTCTTAGTCACTTTTACTTGTCCTTTGCTCAACCAAGACAGATAGCATTCTGCTATGTGATGATGGACTTGGCGAATAATACACTTTATATAACTGGCTGCAAAGAAGCAGCTGAATTAGTAAATACACATGGATATGGCAAAATTAGGTAGTCTGTCTTTACTGATGGTCTTCATTATGGAGCGGTTGTAGGAAACCACATTCACTCCAGCTGCAGTAAATGTTTGCTTCATTGCCTGCCTTAACCTTTGAGTTACAATCTCTATGGTAGCAACATTGAGAAATTGTATTCTTAAGAACAGTGATTTCTTCGGAACGGTAGACATATTTGGTCCTCTTTCAATCACAATCATATGTGTGGTGATGAATTTCGTTTGATATACATTCTTACGAAGCAGCTTATGAATATTACTCAGTTTATCTACAATTGGGTTATCAGAGTTATTCATTCTAACATGATGAGTTAGGACCTTCACTAAATTATTTTCGATCTGATTGGTACAGCACTAAAGAAATGAGTACACCGTTCAATCTCAGACTTTATATAAACACGAGAAGAATAACTTAATATATTTAATAACATTCATCGATCTTTTATTTTTACACTAAAAGAAGAGCATAGTAATATATTGATTTTAGTTGTCTTACTAACAAGAAGAGTAGATGGAACATTAAAAATGTAGAATAGATAGAAAGTTTTTCATTCATTTAAACGCGACTACTAGTTGAGTGTTATTTCATTATTAGTGTAAGGCCATGATAAAAAAACCTAATTGAAAAAATGTTTATAACTGGGTTTTCATCATGTTCTGCCTTTATTAGTTCAGTTTACATATTTTACAAATAGGACATCCGAATTAAAAATTATAGGTGGATAAATTTCAAGCATTTGTAAATGACAAGTTTTCAGCGATAATTTAATCAGTCTAAAGGTAACATGTAAATGTGAATTAAATACAATCACTATATGTATCGTGATGCTCAAAATAGATTTTTGATAAATTAAACGAGTTTAATTTGTAAATAAAATTTATTTAAACAGTGTGATATATGAGCTCGTTACATTTTGAAAAACGTGATCACATATTTACAAAAATGAAATATTTATACAAAAAACTAAAAGATCAAAACCAAAGAAACTGAAATCGAATAAAGTCAAAAATGATAGAGAAAACTAACATTGTAGTAATACTGGTTGGACAATCTGAACTAAATAGCGTCACGGTCGATTTATTCAAAATATCTCTCAGATTAAAATATTAACAAGTTTTTGTAGTACTATACATACTCAGCTCAATACATCATATGAGGTCGCTAATCTACGTCTACTTAACGGACCATTAATAGAGAACTACGAAGATCAATGATCTCTAAGGAAGACAGTTTGCTTTAACAAGCGATTGCAGCTAGACAACCATTGTAAATCAGACAGCGCTATGCCAGTGGTTTTATCCTGTTTAAAATTTCTCAATAAACCATCTCAAATACCTGAACAGAAATCAAACCCACCACTTTCAATTGCTCTCCCAATGAGTCCCCTAAATAACAAGAGCAGTTGTTTAATGTCGTCCGTCCTTCAACGGTACTGTAAAACAACTATGATTTGTGTGAATAATCACAATAATTACTCTAACAGATATAACGTAATTGATAAAATAATGTAAATAAAATATAAGATTATAAAATTCAAAGTATCTCCGAGTGAAAATATTGAATCAATTTCATTTTCTATTTTGTCCTGCTTAATTTTAATTAATTACCAACCAGTAAACTCTAATTGTATGTAATTAATCAAGTATGTGTATCATTTTTTTGTTTTATATATTTTTACAAACTGATATGACTCAATATCTCTTAATTTCCACACAGATTAACTATTTAATGACTAACAAATTAGTTTTTATGAGCTTTTCATTATCTTCAACATAATTCTATGCATTACTAAATAAGTGTTAAAATATTTGATATAGTTACTCATTAAATCATAATTTCTTTCACCGTACATAACCCAAATTCATTCTTATTAATTACCTCACATTTTATTGAATTAAAACTGAAGTAAAATTTTGATTGAAATCATAAATCGATTAATTTAAGATCATCACCCAAAACTTGGAAGTACTAGACGGCCTTTTCATCCTAATATGGAACTCCTCAGCAGTGCGCATGAACGATCCTGCACCCACGAGATTCGAACCCAGGATCTATCAGTCTCGCGCCAGGCGCTTAACCAACTAGACCACTGCGTTGGCATCCAACGGTGTTAACGTCTAACTTCAATTAATCCACGAAGTTGCACCACCGTACACCATTGTCTTCAGTGAGTTCCTATCTCACAACAGACCTGGTTGAACCCCACTGGTATATATATATATATACTTGCGATTGTACAGCTTTAAAAATGAATTCGCCTAAAAGAGAACTCTTCGCTAAACTAATATTTCTTACTCACAATACTACAATTCTTAAATCATATTCTT